CACGGGCCATGACAAGATTTCCCTTCACGACCTTCCACTGCCCATTTCCGAACTTCACCTCGTGTCCCTGTTCGTCCAACTGCCTAACAGAAATCAAACTTTTCTTCAAGGCTGGAACCACTCTGACATCCTTCAAAGTCCAGAAACCGACAGGGGTCTTCAGCACTATGTCACCCATGCCCGTCACATCAAGAGCTCCGTCGTCTGCTAGTCATACCTTTCCAAAGTCCCCAACAACTAGATTCTGCAATGCTTCACCGCTGTGGGTAGCATGAAATGAAGCACCAGAATCCATGACCCAGGAATCTACACTGCTCTCCGCACAACAGATAAACAAATCCTCGTCGCTCGCGGAGCCTCTAGCAATGTTCACTTGCTTATCCTCTTTCGGGCACTGATTCCTGAAATGTCCCACCTCCTTGCACTTCCAGCATGTTACGCCTGAGCTATCCCGAGTCTTCGATCGACTCCTTCGTCTGTTCTTGCTCCCACTACCTCTGTTATTTCCTCTACCTCTGACGATATTTAGTGATTCTTCCGAAGACTCACCAGAACTCCTTCTTCTGACATCTTCGCCAAGAACAAGGTCACGAATCTTCTCAAAAGTGAATCCGTCAGGTCCCGCTGAACTGGTAACTGCTGTAACAGTTCCGGACCAAGTATCAGGCAATGACGATAACAGTAGTAAAGCTTGAACTTCATCATCGAACTTAATGCCCACTGACAAAAGTCTGGCTAAGATCGAATTCAACTTGTTGATATGCTCAGGAACTGAAGTGCCATTTTTCATCCTTGTGTTCACCAGCTCTCTTATTAGAAAAACTTTATTCGCTGCAGATGGCTTCTCGTACATGTTAGACAGCGCGTCCATAATTCCCTTCGCTGTCTTCTCCTTCAGAATGTTGAACGCAACATTCTTGGTCAACGAGAGACGGATCACGGACATAGCTTTCCGATCTAGACCTGCCCAATCTGCATCCGACATCTTTTCTGGCTTGTCACCCAAAACCACGTCCAAATCTTTCTGAACTAGCAAATATTCAATTTGCATTCTCCACCAACTGAAATCTGTACCATCGAACTTTTCAATTCGGAACTTCCCCTCTTCTGCCATCTCCAACTACAAGATGAGATACCCGGTACAACTAATTTCAGTCTTGATATTTTTATCAGATAAGATATCTAGGACAAAAAAAATTGACACCACCCCAAAAAAAAATCACCCACTAATTATGGTCCAAGACCAAATAATTTCTCCTGGCCCACCACTCTCTCCAAACTCCACTCACACCACCCCAAAATCAACTCCACGCCAAACAAATCCAATTAAAAAAACTTTGGGCACCACCTTGCTAATCACGGGTGGCTCCTTCCTCCCTTTTTTTTTCTTTGCACCTTTTCCTTTCCGTCCTTTTTCGCAGTCACATCTCACCTTCTTCCCCTTGGCAGCGCACTTCCGCAGGGGACAGGAGGGTGGCACGGCTCTGGACTCTGCACGGCAAAGGCGACCAGGACGGTGGTGGCAGCTCCTACACGCGGCGGCGGCTCCTTCTGCCGCTGCTCCTGCGTGTGGCGGTCGTCAGGCAAACGGTGGCGGCGATCTGTACTGGACGGCGGCGGCTTGACGAGGGGAGGCTACGACGGTTCGCGGATGACAGTGAACAACCTGTCCAAGCCTCTTACCTTCCTTTGAACCAGCGGTGGAGGGAGATCGACGGCGGCAGCGGTGACTCAGCGGCTGCTCCTGCGCTGGTACGGCGGCAGCGGCTCCTTGGCTTGCTGCGGTCCCCCTCGAATCAGCAATGGCGACGGTCTGGTTCTGCTTGATTGAAGGCGGCAGCGGTGAGTCTCACGGGACTTACTTCTTGCTGCGGCAGTGCTCCGTGGGGATCGTCGGGATGGCGGTGCTCCGGCGGTAGCGGCCCAAACACAGGCTCCTGCTATTGCACAGGGTGACACTCTTCTCTGATTAGTTTCTGCTCATCGGATTTCCGGTGTTGACAAACCAACGCTCCGATACCACTTGTTGGGATAAACGCACGCGGAAACAACACACAATCACAAATCAACTGCAGAAAAATAAACGACACAGGATTTAACGTGGTTCGGCCGCCAACTGCAACCTACGTCCACACGGGCAACTAGGAGGATTTTATTATTTTTGTTGCACACAATTACAAGCACATTAGCATCTCTTAAATAGAGATTAGTTAGGGAGACAATGATTAAGCCGTAAGCTTCTCGGTAGCTTCCTGCCAATTTCCTGTTAGCTTCCACCTAGCTTCCTGGCTTCACACTCAACACACGGGACGGAGGGAGTATAATGCAAATTTTGCCTTTACCCCACCTTAATATGGTTCTCTTCCCTTTTATTGATTTCCAAAAATATCATCTTTCTTTTCTCTGATTAATTTAAAAAATGTACTCCCTCCATCCAATAAAACCTTTCTCCTTTCTTTTTTTATCCGTCCCACAAAACACTTCTCATTTCTATTAAAAAGTCACTTGTACCCCTTACTTTTTCATACCCTAACTATCACATCATACCTTTTTACTAATAATTTATCCATCAAATCATATTTTTATCCATCACATCAAAGGACATTTTTGAAAATTCAATACCAAAATACACTCCCTTTAAATCCTTCCTAAAAAGCAAAACTCCTATGTTTCATGGGACGGAGGGAGTACATATTAATGATCATATATTTATTCTCCTTTGCATTAATTTAATAAATTGGATTACCAACCCTATAATAAGAATATGATTCTTCTATCCTGCATTAATTTTAATTAGCAAAATAAATATTACTACTTCTGTTCCTGAATATTTGTCCAGTTTTGACTTTTTTCGGTCAACTGTTTTCAACCTTTGGCCTATAATTAAATAAAATATACATTGTATTCTTATTAAATAAAATAATATTTTGAAAATATTTGATATAATAAATCTAATAAAACTCTTTTTGTATCAATATCTAATACTTCGTATCATTTTTATTTAATTTGAGGTGAAAGTTTACCAATTTTGACCGAAAAAAGTCAAAAGTAGACAAATAGGGAGTATTAATTTATCCCTCTTGATTTATTATGATTCTTTTCTCTCACAACTCACATTAATTAAAAAAAAAATACGCCGTAGGGTTCTTCTCACCCTGCCTAAGTCAAAAAAATAAATTTTGGTTTAGCAATCCTATGATTCATAAAAATTAATCAAAAAATCAGTATTAATCAAAAAATCAGTAAAAGTCCAATGATATTACTCCTCTAGGTTAATTAAAAAAAATAATACTCCAAAAATAATACTCCTCTTGGTTTAATTAAGAATAATAATAAAAAGAAACATTATTGATCCAATGATTCTCAATAAAAATTTACAAAAATATTTGATACTTTTTTTCCAATTTTTTTGCTTTTCCTATTTGAATACAAAATCATTCAAACTCATGAAAAGAAAATCCAAATAAATGAAAATAACATTTTTCATAGAAGGTCTGAAATAAACTTTAAAGTACATTTTTAATTTTCATCCACCCCAAAAGGGCCTCATAAAGTTACTCCGGAACTACTTCTACTTCTATTAGGAGTATTATTCAAAAACCTGTTGTTACTAGGATTAGGGTTAACTAGGACACCTTAGGCAATTACTTAAAACCAAAGATTAAAAAGTTACAACTCCGATATGATCTGTGTGTGTGTGTTGGAGCCTTCATCAGTTCACTTTCTTCTTGGCCGTGATGGTGATCCAGTGGGTTTCACATCTCTTTCGTTTCCGTCCAAGTCGAAACAGAGGATTCGGTCTGTTCCCAGATGACATCTTAGTTGACATTCTGAGCAGGCTTCCCGCCGACGCCGTTCTGCGGTGCCGCAGAGTGTGCCGGCACTGGAGGACTCTAACTTCATCCGCTGATTTTGTCGCGCTGCAAAACCAAAGAGCTCCCTCCGTTCTTCTCCTGCAGGGCCGCCGACTCGGTTTGCTCGCCAAAACAGATTATTTTGTCTACGACGCACTTGCCAAAGAGTTGAGAAAGATTCCTTTCAAGTCTAGGCTCGGCTTTGAGGGCCGTGGCAAAACGATGGAAAACGAAACCATCTCCTTACGCGGTGCTTGTGGTCCCTTACTTCACCTTAAGGCTTCAGGTTACTACAACTGGACGAGGGGGGTCCACAACTTCGCTTTCAACCTCATCACCCGACAACTAGGGGCTTTAAAAATGAGGAAAGGCGATTTCGTGTGCGGCTTATTCTTTAACGAGGCGAGAAGCGAGTACAATTATCTTAGCTTTCGCTTTCTTGGTGATAAGTCGGGTCGGTTTTACGTCTACAGTTTAGATTCCCGCACTGACGTGGAAATCGCATGCAGCCCTTTCTTGTTTGGGAGATGCTCAAACCAAAGCCCAGTCGTCGCGAACCGAGCCGTGTTTCTTATGGTGGAACGCACTGAGCGGGACGTTAACCGCTGCATGCACGCGATACTCGTGTTCGAGATGGATTCTGGAAAGTTCTACAACATGCCTCACCCGCAATTCGAATGCCCCGGTACGGGTCTTCATCATTTTAGCCCGTACTCGTATTTGTTTGTTCATGATGGCCATTTGTGTCTCGGCCGTAGAGACATTGAACTGGGGCTACTCTACACATGGACTTTGGTGGATTACGCAAACTGGTCGTGGGCCCCTCTGGGTCCTACGATTGCTCTCCTCATCCCGAAAGGCCCTACGGGTGGGGCCCGTTTCACGATCCTTAGCGTGCGAAAGGATGAGTTGTTAGTATATTGGGATCCATCTCTGTTTCTCGTCAACGTGAAGGACGAGAGTGTTGAAGAAATCAAATTGCCGTATAAATGGTTGCCTTCCAGTCTTTCTTTGGTTGCGTACCGGAGCACGCTCGCAGCTCCACGTCTAGTTTGGGACGAAGGAAAATCTCCTCTCTTTAGTCTCTAATAAGTGTGCCAAAAAATCATACCCTCATACTTTTTAATTACTCTATATGCACCAAATTCCAAAAAAAAGATTATTATAGTGAATTATATACAATGAGTAGCTAGTATATTAATATTTTTTTCATATGAGCATTAGTTTTGTTTTGTTGTGATATAAGCTTTGAAATATATATACTCTCTTCGCCCCTGAAAACCTCTCTCCTTTTTTTTTCATCCGTCCCAAAAAACACTTTTTATTTCTATTAAAAAGTCACTTTTACCCCTTACTTTTTCATACCCTACCTATCACATCATACCTTTTTACTAATAATATACCCATCAAATTCTACTTTTTACCCATCACATCAAAAGACATTTTTGGAAATTCAATACCAAAATACACTCTCCTTAAATCTCTTCAAAATCAAAATATCTCATGTTTAAAGGGACAGAGGGAGTATAATGAAGTTTATATTTGTGGTGCAAGGGAGGACATATGAGACATCTATGGAAGTATTTTTTCTGCAGTAACATAAGTTTCTTGGTTGTTTGGTTGGATGAATTAGGGATAAGTGTGTCTACATGAGCTGGGTTATTAAAGAGTTGGTCTGGTTCGGTGCTAACGGATTTGGATCAATTTAAGTTCCGATAAATATATGCTTGTTCTTTATTCAAACTATCATGTTCGAATCAACCTAACGGGTTCACACACCTATTTTTAAAATTTAAATTTTCTCTTTACAAGTCAACAACTTCTTCACCAAAACTATGAATCAAATAAACTCGGGCATAACAATGTCCCAAAAAAATGTTTCCACATCTTGACTTCTTTATTTAGTCAATATTTTACACAATTTGATTACAAATTGTGAATAAGAATTTGTTTATGTAAGAGTACATCCCACATCGGAAATCTAAGAGTAAAATAATCGGTATATAAGCTCTAAAGTTGAACTAACTTATCGATTGGATTCAATCATGGTGTCAGAGTCAGTTTTAGCCCACCTCGTTTGTCAAGGTGTCCGTCTAGACGTTCATTCCTAGCGGCCCGTTTGTCTTTAGCCCAGTTGTCCGTATGGGGTGTGTACCCAACGGCCTGTGGCCTGTTTAACACGATTGCTCGTCTGGAAGTCCATACCCAGCGGCTCGTGGTCCTTTAGGTGTTGGCGCTCAAAAAAAAAGGCAATGGAATGGGAGTTCATTTGCAAGTGGTCAACCGGTTAGATTCAAAATGGCCCGGTTGTCCACTTGAGGGGGAGTGTAAGAGTACATCCCACATCGGAAATCTAAGAGTAAAATAATCGGTATATAAGCTCTAAAGTTGAACTAACTAATCGATTGGATTCAATCTTTTAAAGTGGTTCAACCCAAGTGTCTTATTACCGAATCCAGTTATCCATATCCCATCCTAAATTCTATCAATTTAGTTATCATATAAATTAAATAAGATTTAGTTTATTTTAAGTTTTATTTTTGATATATTCCTTCTGTTCAAAAACATTCTTTCAGGTTCGATTTACGATATTTGACTAAAATTATTTTTAATTAAATTTATTTAATTATAAGTGACTATATTGTTTAATCAAATAACTAATGAAAATAGTTATAGAAAGTGATTAAATTTTAACCATATAAATAGAAAATGAGAAGAAAGTTTTACTATAAGAGTATCAAATTTTTACCAAATTATTTTCATACTCCTCCCGTGCACCAAAACACTTCATCTTTCATTTTTTTTCTCTTCCACCAAAACACTCCACTTTTTATAAAAAAACTACTATTACCCCTATTTGTTCTTACCTCACCTATCAAATCACACTTTTTCACTAATAATTTATCTATCACATCTTACTTTTATTCATTACATCAAAGGAAAAATGAAAAATTCAAAGAAAAATTATCTCAAATAATCCCACATTTTCACGCTCTTTCAAAAATAATCTCACTTTTCACTGTCACCGGAAATAATCTCACCTTTTCGCATGTGTGCGAGTTTTGGCTCACCGTTAAAAAACTAACGGCCACTTAACGGAAGTTTTTGAAAATGCCTGTTTTTTGCAAATAAATGAAAGGTGAGATTATTTTAGAAAAAATTACTTTTTACTTTTTTAGTTTTGAATTTAAAATTAATATTTTTAAAAATATAACAATACACTCTTGTTAGAGATTTGTCTAACGATTAACAAATTTTGTTAATTGTTTTGGGAAAATATAGTATTGAATTATCAAAAATAATTCAGAGTATCGATCAAGAAAGAAATTACAATAAAAAAAATTGTAGTGATTTATAAAATTTATGGGTTCCGTTTCGGAGAAAAAAATATTGTGTCATTTTCACAACTTTTGAATTACTATTTTGGGGAAAAATTTGTATTGAATTATTAAAAAAATCACAAATTGGGTAGTTCCATTTTAGAAAGAAAATTTTATTGCAATATAANATTATTTTAGAAAAATTTACTTTTTACTTTTTTAGTTTTGAATTTAAAATTAATATTTTTAAAAATATAACAATACACTCTTGTTAGAGATTTGTCTAACGATTAACAAATTTTGTTAATTGTTTTGGGAAAATATAGTATTGAATTATCAAAAATAATTCAGAGTATCGATCAAGAAAGAAATTACAATAAAAAAAATTGTAGTGATTTATAAAATTTATGGGTTCCGTTTCGGAGAAAAAAATATTGTGTCATTTTCACAACTTTTGAATTACTATTTTGGGGAAAAATTTGTATTGAATTATTAAAAAAATCACAAATTGGGTAGTTCCATTTTAGAAAGAAAATTTTATTGCAATATAAGATTATCAATAAATATTTCAGAGTGTTCATGGAAAAATTGCAATACATCAGAAAATGTAGTGAGTTATAAAATTAAAAGTTCTATTTTAGAGAAAAAAATTGTTGTGTTATTTTCACAACTATTGTAATGTTGTTTCACAAAAAATATTTATATAGAATTATCGAAAAATATTCATAAGTTTTGTAGTGCCATTTTTTTAAGAAATAATAATAATGTAGTATCAAAAAATAATTTGAAGTGCAGCTCAAGAAAAATAAAGTAAATGCAACTTACAATTTAAATAATTTGAAGTGCAGCTCAAGAAAAATACAGTAAATGCAAAAAATACAGTTAGTTATGAAGTTAATAAATTAGCTCTATTGTGTAGAATAATTTATTTTCTAATTATTACCATATTATTGGTTATTGAAAAAAAACAATTAGTTTTACTCTAAAACACTTAAATTTGGTATTTTTTCCAAAAAAATAAAATAAAAATACATTTAAAGAAATTAAAAAACGAAAAAGGGAGAATTTACCTAAAATAATCCCACCTTTCATTTATTTGCGAAAAATGGACATTTTTCAAAATTTCCGTTAAGCGACCGTTAGTTTTTTAAGGGCGACCCAAAACTCGCACACATGCGGGAAGGTGGTATTATTTCTGGTGAGAGTGAAAAGTATGATTATTTTTGAAAGAGCACTAAAAGGTGGGATTATTTGAGATAATTTTTCCAAAATTCAACTATAAATATATATTATTTATTTATCCCATTAGTCAAAATATGAACTATTTTCCTGAAGGAGAATATAATTATACTTCGTATTTATTAATAACCAGGGTGTGTAGATAGTTGACCAAAAAAATCAAAATGAAAAAATGTTTTTTAGACGATTGAAGTATGTGTGTATTATGAAAGGAAGAAAAAGAATTTAACATTTAAAAGTGTCTAACCCTTGGGTCTATCCCGACCCAACCTCAAATTGTAACGAGTCTTTAATTTCATGTTCGAATAATTTATAGTCAAGATTCAGGTTAAAAATGGATTGGATCAAATTTTGTCTGGTGCAATTTGCATTTTTTAACCCAAAGAGAATGAATTGAATTATTGATCCATTCAAGGAATCAAAGATGGGCTCATTTAATTACTTTTGTTAGATCCCAAGTTTTTTTTGTTTGAAAAAAAACGTGAACGTATTTGATTGGAGTTGTGAGAAAGAAAGAAAAAAAGAGAAAAGTTTGAATTATATTTTTACTCTTTTCTTTCAATTATGCCAATGGCTTCTAAAATAAAAGTAGAGAGTAAAATAAACAGATTATAAGAAGGTACTTCATCCATCCCAAAAAAATCCTAATTTTCTTTTTTTCATCTAGCCAAAAAAATTTATTGCCGTTTACTCTTTTAGAAAACTTTTTATTCTAAAAAGACATTGCTATCCTTATTTACTAGTACCCGTCCATCTTTCATTGTCTTGTATACAACATTTTATAGACTTTAATATATAAATATCATTGATTAATTGGAGTTTTGAAAAAATAAAATATTCCGCATGTCGGATACAAAAACTTTGAGAGAATTAACATTTAAAATTTGAATCTTATGATCATGTATGTGCAACGCTTTTGTATCTACTTTACAACCTTGTAAAGTAAAGAGCGGAATAAAAAGGAGTAAAGGGAGCACACCAAGATTTACCCTGGTTCACCACAACTTGTGGCTAATCCAGCCTCCCGAGAGACTCTCTCGAACTACACTACTTCCGTTAAGCTTACGGGTGCTTAACAAACCGTTACAACCTGAGAACTCGAGTCCCACGAGCCTCAATACACTTGCTCGGAGATACCGCACTCCAAGACTTCAACCCGAAGGAAAATACCTTTCCTTCGTACAACCAAGGGAAACAAGCTTCCCTAAACGTGTTTGCAACACTAAGAACACTCAGGAACAAGACTCTCTTTAAGAGTAGATGTTGAGTACACTATATACGCTCAAGAACAACTCAAACTTCACAAATTGGCTCTAGAAAGCTATGGAAAATAATGTTGTTTGGATGCAATGATAATATGAATAAAGTGAAGTGAATTGATGAGAAAAGCAGACCCAAACACCCCTTTTTATAATGCAAAATTAGGCTCCAACGGACCAATGCATTAAAGGAGTGATTAGCTTGATTTAAGGGATTGAAAAGATTTGGGATCTGCAGAATATTGGCTTCCCATCGATGTTTAGACTCAACCATCGCTGGTAAGCCAATTTTCCTTCAGTTTTAAAGTCAACGGTCACCTACCCATCGATGGGTAGATGCTTCCCATCGCTGGGTGGGAGGTTGACTTTCAAATAAGGAAAGAATCATCCTTAAATAACTCGCAACGGTCATGCCTTCCCATCGATGGTTAAGCCTTCCCATTGCTGGGTTCCCATCGATGGGTAAAGCTTCCCATCGCTGGGTAAGGGCATTCTGCCTTGTGGTAATGTTGCACCAAGGCTTTAACATCGATGGGTAGAACTTCCCATCGCTGTTTGGCATGGTTCTGGAAGTTGGTTTGGCTAAGGGACTGCTTACCCATCGATGGGAAGATCTTCCCATCGCTGGGTGGCATGATTCTGGAATCCCGGGATCACTTACCCATGCATGGGT